CCGCGTCAATTTGCAGTTGCAGTCCCTCAGGGGTGTCCGACATACCGACAAAATCATCCGCAAACAGCATTCCTGAAACCGACGTTTCCGTGTCCCCTACTTTTACTCCCTTCCGGACTGCCTCTACGACTTCCAACAGATCGTTAATGAACACCTGGAACAATGTTGGGGACAGCGTGCAACCTTGTGGGACCCCCTGCTCAATGTCGAAGAATTTTGACAGTTCTCCGTCTAGCATGACCGCGCTTTTCGTACACTCTGTCATCTTCTTCAGCACTCTCCACATTTTCCCCTTGATCCCGTATTTGGACAGTTGTTTCCACAACCCATTTCTCCATACGGTGTCGTATGCCTTTTTCACGTCCCGGAAGAAGCAGTATGTCGGCTTTCCCGCCCTCTTTCTACCTTGGATGATTCTCCCTACTGTGAATACGTGGTCTACGCACCCCCTCTTCTTTCGGAAACCTGCCTGGCCCTCACTAATGCTATGTTCCTTCTCCAATACTCCCACGATCCTATCTAAGGAAGGGGATGGTACAAAAAGTCAGCATCGCCGAGACGACGGGCAACCGTTTGTTGACGTCGAACATATCGACAATACTTGAAATGAGGTGTACAATAGTACAGCAGTCCGGGACGTGTTGAAAACAACTACAGTACACCAGTTTGTACTTGGCATAGCCGGCAGCGGAAGGAGGAAATTCCAAGTAGACATACTCTTATCTCATGCTTGTGAAACAAAAAACGAGCGTATTTCAGCGTCGCACCAAGGAACACCAGTACATACCACTGTCCCGGCGGAGACCAAAAGCTACCCTGATGGCTTGTCCTTCGACGTATCGCGAAGAGTTCCCTGAACCTCCCCCCGCGGCTTGGCTTTACGGCTCTGTTGAGTTTGATGAGTAAACGAATGAACGGTCTTCGAAAGAAGGTACTGCGTCTCACGGTACTCGCCACCCCTTCCCTTCGCGTACAAATACAGATAGCGCCCGCAGTTAAAAAATATTATGCAAGAAAATAGGCTCAACTTTGTACGAAAAATAAGCAAAAAGGGTGNAAGGAGGAAATTCCAAGTAGACATACTCTTATCTCATGCTTGTGAAACAAAAAACGAGCGTATTTCAGCGTCGCACCAAGGAACACCAGTACATACCACTGTCCCGGCGGAGACCAAAAGCTACCCTGATGGCTTGTCCTTCGACGTATCGCGAAGAGTTCCCTGAACCTCCCCCCGCGGCTTGGCTTTACGGCTCTGTTGAGTTTGATGAGTAAACGAATGAACGGTCTTCGAAAGAAGGTACTGCGTCTCACGGTACTCGCCACCCCTTCCCTTCGCGTACAAATACAGATAGCGCCCGCAGTTAAAAAATATTATGCAAGAAAATAGGCTCAACTTTGTACGAAAAATAAGCAAAAAGGGTGAAGAAACATAGCTCAATCTCGGCCACAACGCAAGAAACGCCCCAATAAGAAACGTGATGGTGCGATACCCCCATGACAACAGAAATCTGCGGTGCTCCCAACCCCCTCCCNCCCCCCCCCCCCCCCCGCGCCCCTGCTGTACAGTGAGTACTGTACTGTAGTACTGCCACACATCGCGGGCAACCATATGCTCTCCTCTATTGTACGGTTTGATGGCACTCTCCACCACTTCTCTTGAGGGCTTGATGATGTGGATTGTCCTCAGAAATCAAAGGCAGAAAAAAGAATATACTTGTTGTAAAAGTCTTAGTCTAAGGAATAAGAGAATCGGGAGGATGCGACAGTCCAAAGGAAGAAGAAATTCCATTCACGAAATGGGCGACTTGGGTCGGTACTTCGACTCAATACAAGGGATTGGTGAGGCTCGAAACAATTTTGACGTTTCTTAACTGCGGGCGCTATCCNCACTCTCCACCACTTCTCTTGAGGGCTTGATGATGTGGATTGTCCTCAGAAATCAAAGGCAGAAAAAAGAATATACTTGTTGTAAAAGTCTTAGTCTAAGGAATAAGAGAATCGGGAGGATGCGACAGTCCAAAGGAAGAAGAAATTCCATTCACGAAATGGGCGACTTGGGTCGGTACTTCGACTCAATACAAGGGATTGGTGAGGCTCGAAACAATTTTGACGTTTCTTAACTGCGGGCGCTATCCGTAGGATCGAACGTCCTCCAAGCGAGAGATAACCTCGCCCTCGGTGAGGGACGAGGTTATGCACGACTTTTTGTTTTTGGCGGCATGAGATGGACCGGCGGTAGATGGGAGGAATCTATCCATACCAACACCCAGTTGCAGCTGCAGCAGCAGACCGCTCGCTACTTCTGCTGTCTGTGCGTCGCTACTTCTGCACTCATTGCGGTTCGTGGTTGGTGCAAAGAGCGGCCCGCAGGTCCGCAGGACACAAGAAATGGGGGTAAGCGGCAGAAAAAAGGGGGTACCCCATCATCGTGTATTCTGACGGGCCCCGGGTGCTCAGCGAAACAAGTTTCCCTAAAGCGGGTAGTTTCCTTAACGCGAGCGTCCTTAAAGCGGGGTCGACTGTATTGCCCGGCCATTGTTAATTAAATATTTAGAGCGGAAGTGTTGATGGTTGGTGTTGTTTCGCAGGGGCGGAAACTGATTCCTTCCCCGTTGCCATGGTTGTTATTGGACGAGAAAATTCGCCGTTTGGTATCCCATGGTTGGCAGGGAAAAAGAGTTGGGAAGATTCCTGTGGGGGAAATGATTGATGTAAGGGTCTCATTTTCTGTCAGGTCAGGGTACATTTCCGAAAACAGGGTACAGTTGTTGAAAAAAGTAGTCACGGTAGGGTATACCCTGGGCCTTCTCGGACGCACCGGGGTGAAATTGGGCGCTGATCAATGATATGAGTGCATTTACTGCTGTAAATGACAGTGTACCCTGGTGTGTCGCTTTTCGACCAGGGTATATACCCTGTTGTGTCGTTTTCCCATATTTTTTTGTGTATATCCGACCCATAATATGTCTTGTTACCAAAAATGAAGTTGACTAAAATATGATAGATGATCAGCAGTGCGGATGCAACGATGCCTACCGGGGCACAACAACTCTGCTGGTGTTCATTCAGGTGACGTTGTTGGAAGCTCCCAATGTCCTGCGAGGTCGTCTTGCTGGGCAGGTACATGTAGTTGGTGACAATCGCGGATGCTTTTATTATCCAACAAGCACCCACACCTTGTCGTGTTTGGTTTCCATGACCCCCCCTCGACTCCGGTATCCCGCTTTTCTTCCCCACCGCGCTTTTTCCGGGGCTCTACCACGCACACGCCGGCGGCGTCGGTGACAACTAGCTAACTCTCCCGCTTGCACTGCCGCCGCCCTGCGCCCCCGAAACAGAAAAATGGACAAGCTGAGCAAGTCGGATCCGTTCGTTGTGATCAAATGGAAAACGGACTCGGACGAAACTTGGCGAGAAATAGGTGAGTGATTTGTGTCTGTGGTGAGTTCTCAACGAACGGATCCACGTGAGAACTTAACAGTTAAAAACTTGAGTCTAAAAACATCCAAAGTCTAAAGAACTTGGCCAGAAGAACAGGCGCTCAGTCAAGAAGCCCACACTAAAACCTATATAGTCGCCGTGGAGGTAAAACACCCCATATATAGACAGAGAAGGGCAAACGACACAGTAGGGTATATACCCTGGTCGAAAAGCGACACACCTGGGTACACTGTCATTTACAGCAGTAAATGCACTCATATCATTGGTCAGCGCCCAATTTCACCCCGGTGCGTCCGAAAAGGCCCAGGGTATACCCTACCGTGACTACTGTTTTCAACAACTGTACCCTGCTTTCGGAAATGTACCCTGACCTGACGGGAAATGAGACCCTTTCATAAATCATTTCCGGCCCGCAGGAATCTTCCCAACTCTTTTTCCCCTCCAACCATGGGATACCAAACGGCGAATCTTCCCGCCCAATAACAGCCATGGCAACGGGGCAGGAATCAGTTTCCGGCCCTCCGAAACAACACTAACCGTCTACTAACTCTCCCGCTCTAAGTCAACAATGGCCGGGCAATACCCCAGCACAATTGTTCCGTTTGGAAACACGCACACGCGCGTACAGTACCCCGTGGACTACTGCTTGCTCCAGTCTATACATATATGCAAGATGCACGGGTCACGCCATGAAAGCGAGACCGATCCAGCATGGTAGACATGCATGTGCATGTGCGAATGAATGTGTGGCGCTGTGCTGGCGGCGAGCTCGCGCCCGCAGAGAGGGCGGAGGGGAGAGGCAGGACCAGGACACACAGGCACGCCCTTGACATCAATCACGCACACAGGAGTCTCATCCTTACTCTAGCAGCAGGACACTGATGTGTCGTGCATCTCAATCACCCTCTCTGTCGGTAGAGAGAAGAAAGAGTGCTCGCGTTGTATTTCATCGGCTCATCATCCCGCTGAAGCCCGACGCTTTCTTACGGCATTGATTGATTGGTCGGCTTGGTTGGCTGGTAAGTAAGCGTGACCGCTGCTGCTACAGCAGTAGTTCAAGCACGAAAACACATCGCGACTGAGACAAACAAACACATGCACGCACACATGCATATGCATGTCAACTATGCCCCGCAGGAAATGATTGATGAAAGGGTCTCATTTCCCGTCAGGTCAGGGTTTTCCGAGAACAGGGTACAGTTGTTGAAAAAAGTCGTACCCGATGCACCGGTCGCCCCGGTGGTCTAGTGGTATCCTTGTAATCCGCTAGTCGCAGAGGTCGTGAGTCCGAATCCCCATGGGGTGAAAATTTTACGAAATGTGCGGGTGAAAGCGAAATATAACTGACAAGCACTCGTGAGTACCAAACTTCGACGTTAGCACCGTTGACGAGGGAAGGGACGGCTGGACCGTTCTCGCGATAAGTATAAAATTCAGCACCCACCGCAGGAGGAAGGAGGGGCATGAAAAGAAATGANTCCCCATGGGGTGAAAATTTTACGAAATGTGCGGGTGAAAGCGAAATATAACTGACAAGCACTCGTGAGTACCAAACTTCGACGTTAGCACCGTTGACGAGGGAAGGGACGGCTGGACCGTTCTCGCGATAAGTATAAAATTCAGCACCCACCGCAGGAGGAAGGAGGGGCATGAAAAGAAATGAAAAAAGAAGAAAAAAGCCCTGGTGTTTACCCCCTTCTGTGTGACCCTGGATGGTTGTAGTTGTACGAAAAAATACACTGAAAAGTGTAGTACTCTACATACGCTGAAAAGTGTAGTACACGTCTCACCACGAAAAATGGGGGGATTGTCGCCATGATAAATAGGACGAAAAAAAAAAAACACACACACACGCTGGACCTTTTCAGACGCACCGGGGTGAAATTGGGCGCGGACCAATGATATGGGTGCATGTACTGCTGTTAATGACTGTACCCAGGTGTGTCGCTTTTCGACCATGGTATACATACCCTGTTGTGTCGTTTTCCCAGATAAGAAACGAAGCTCGACCAAAGAAAGAGGTTCTTAAGTGGTGGCGTATTCTGTACCGCCCGTCGGGGACTGGAAAGTTCCACGACCTCCGGGTTGTTAGAATGTCCATCCTTCGATGAGTCAGACGAATACGTCTGTCTGTCCCAGGGTATAATCGACCGGGCTCAAGGTTGTGAGCGAGAGAGAGAATACAGCAGCCCGAAGAATCCACCGGGTCGCGTGCTCGTTTTTGTTCAAAGGACGATACAGTTGGCGCCCGCAGTTAAGAAACGCTTATTTCAGGTCCAACCTCGAATTCTTATTGTGGGCTATAAACTATGGGTATGTCGCTCAGTTTCTTATTTCAAGTTTCGTATTTTTTCGTGCAGCCAAATCCTGCTTAATTTCTTAAATCGGCAATTTCTTATTTCTCTGCTTTCCTCGACCCCCGTACTCAACCCCGATTCTCACTACCGACGGCTGCACGTAAGGCCGCTCCCTAGAAGCGAAAGGTATCCAGCGGCAACGTCTCACTATCGCTACAAGGTCCTGTACCCCCCTCATGAGTGAGGGCTGAAACTAAACAAATGCATTAACACCGCATGATGCCTCACCCGCACGCTGACGTGCCAACAACGAAAACTACCCCGTCATTATGTTGCAAGCTCCGTGAGGCGAACATTGGGGGTTGTCACCCTTTTGCGCCTCCCGCTCCCTTCCTTTGGGTCTACCTCTAGGAGAACCCACGCCCCAATGGCGGCGTCTTCATCCGTGCTGTACGACTCCAACTGCATCTTCATGCTACGCGTACTTTCGTCACAGTGCAGAATGACGCGGTAGTCGTACTCCTGCCGCGAAGCGGGGTGAGATCTGTGACTAATTACCCCTCCGAACCAACCCAACCCGAGTTTCACGAGAACCCCACGCTTCACTATCGACTGATCGAGGGCCGGTGGTGGAGACGCCTGGAGTCGAAACCCGTCCGGGATGTCCATCTTCAGCGTTTCTTCCTCAGGCGACAACTCGTCATCTTCGTCGAGCTGGGTCAGCGGGTCCTTATCGTTTTCATCGTCTCCTGACAAGGCACAGCAGAGGCATCGTCTATTGTTGTGGCGATTCCCGAAGCGGGGACAATATTCCAACACTCATTATTGTGTCAACAATAGGAGCTTTCTTCCGCAAGGATAATTCTTCTGTGCTCCGAATGAACGCGAAATACAATATCACTTACCGTCGCTCTCATCATCGCTGGAAGAGGCGTCCTCCGACAGCTGGTCCACGTCAACATTTCCGGTGTCGCCATCCTTCTTGCCCTCCTCATCAGCGGTGGCGCCATCCTCCACATCCATGAAGGAATATGTGGAAAGGCCTTCGAGGTTGATTTTGTCGTCCCTAGAGCCATCCGCCGTCATTCCACATCCGGTTTTCTCGAAGAGACGGAACCGAAAAGCTCATCTTTATCGATCTCCTCGGTCGCCTGTGCCACCCAACTGGTAAGCAACACGCGACGTTCGGAACACGTCAGTGCTTTGGCCTCCCACTTTTGCAGGTTGTCTCCGCTCTCCAGCCACTTGTCCAGTTGCACCCCCACAGCCACCTTCGGCCGCCGTCCATAGCCGGCGTCGATCGGCTGGACCTCGTCCGTACAGCCTGCCGGCAGGTGCCAAAAAAACGTGTTGCACTCCTCGTACTTGCGGAATTCCTCAGTCGTCTGCCCGTGCAGGTTGTCGGCGAGAAGAAGCGACTGCTCCTCGGGCACCTTCCCGTCTACCATTCGGCTCGAGCGAAAAGAGCGCTCCAGCCATTGCATGCAGAAGTCGCTGTCGACCCAGGCCTTGGGCTGGAAGAAGACATCTACGCGCTTGTCGTTTGCTGCCTTCTCCACCTTGGTGATGCCTGTTCCTTTGCCGCGGAAGATGATCGCGCACCTCGTCTTGTTCCCGCCTGCTCCTATCGTCGGTTGCACCGTGCACTGCCGCTTCTCCAAGCTGGGGAATGGCTGGCCAACATGCACCCGCTTCGCCCCTCTTTTGTCCCAGGTGTCTTCCTGTCCGGTCACGAACCCCAACGGTACCTGGTCGGTGTTGTCCCTCAGCTCCTTCACGAAGCGCCCCCACTTGCCGTAGGGTCCTTCGTAGGGGATCAGCGCCCCAGGTTGCTCGACGGATCCTCCGTCCGAGACAGGTGCTTGTGGCTCCCACGGGATCACCTTCCCTCCATGTACACGAGGCTGTTGCATGAACTTTCGGAACTCCCTGTGCCGTTTCCGGATCTTCGGCAGTCTCTCCTCCACAGACTTGTTGTTGGAGTTAGACCGCCGCCGCTTAGACAGCGAGTGCCTCGTCGCCCACTTTTGCGCGAACCGGAAGGACGGCCGGAATGCCTTTGCTCGTGGATCTTGCGGGCACCTTTCCATGATAAGCTTTTTGAAAGTGACCGTGATCCACCTTCTCGAGACCCGCAGCTTCCTCTTGCGTCGTGCCAGCAACATCTTGTACAGCTCCTTCTCCGCGTCAGGGAACCACAGCCGCCGTCGAGTGCATGTCGCCATCAGACTACTCCGCACCTTGTCAGCTGCCTGCTGCACGAGAGAGTCTTCATCCTTCTGCCATTTGCTGATATTGCTGGCCGAGATCCCTGACTTATGTTCCAAGTAAAAGAGAGGGGTCATACCGAAGTGCGCACGAACCTCCGTTGACCGCGACTCTAGATCTCGCAGCTCCATAATAACACCGACCCTCTCGCGCGAGGTGTACCGTCTCCTCGAGGCTGCTCCACGCTTTTTCTTTGGTGGCGACTCCGTTTGTGAAAAGCCGTCGTTCAGGAGGTTGTTGTTCCGCTCGACTCCAGGGCGTAAAGGCTGCAGCACAAACTTCACGGACCCTGGCGGACATGTCGCGCCGCATCCGCGACTCTCTCCATGGTGAAACGCAACGTGCCAGCAACGTCCTGACGGTGTCCCACCCCAAGGGAGGAGAGATGATGCCCCCGCCCCCTTCCTGTTCGTTGAACACCACCGTTGAACTGAGATCTTCGCTTCACGCTCGTGGTCAGCTTTGATGTGCACCCCAAGGCCCTGGGTGTTGAACAAACGACGGTTGCACTTCGTGAAAGGCACTGTCGGTTGAGACGGTGGAGGCGCGGCGAAATTGATGTTCGTGATTCGTGATCTCCTCCGTGCTGCCGTCCCCACGCGTACGCACCACCTGCACAGAAATGGGGGAGGGAGGGCATCGGAGGGCGGTGGTATTGTTCATTCCTGCTCGAGTTTATTATTTGATGTTTGAAAGATAGCAACATTAACTCGTTCAACACAGAGTGCTTCCGCGGTTAAGGCCAGCACAGCAGCATGTATGAAGACGCATGTCGGAAAGGGTTGACAAAAAAAGAGACGAACCTGGTACGGAGGCACGCTGGCGAGTTACTGCTACAGACATGTTCTTGCCATTAGGTGCGTGCAAAAGCGGCTCAAAAATCATGTTTATGCGGCATTTCAACCATAAACGTAGTGTTAGGATCATCCACGTGGTTCACAGCAGCACCGGTATGACGCAAATCGAAGACAAAGAATAGCAGAAGAACTCACGCAAACCGAAAGAGAC